TCACTGTGGGGCTGTACTTGAGTGGGAGGTGGCATGGTGTGCACTACGGGCACCGGCGTCTGTGGTTCCACAGCAGCTATACCCACGGCTGAGTCTAGTTGAAATGAGAGTTCATCGAGCACAGCATCAAAGAGCACCGAGAGTGCACCCATGCTATAGCGGATCAGCAACTTAATGCTGACCGTGACTAGTTTCCTCAATACCACATACAGGCGGGGCCTAGTGAAAAAGACACTAAGTACAAAAATCACCAACAGGCTCCACCATACGCGTCCCCTGAGTTTGACCAGGGCCCACATGAACCAAGCTTTAAACTTAGAAAAGAAAGACTGGGGGTTGCCCCCACTGCTCGACGCTGCGAGAGCGTCTGTCAGGGGTTTGGGTCCTTCTTGACTTAAAGTTCGGGCAGCCACCATTCTTTTGGCAAACTGCTGAAACCTGGAGTCGCCTCTGTAACTCCGAGCTGCCTTCGCAAGATCAGCGGGTCCTATGTCTAGGTAGTGTGCGCCTTTCAGGCTGCCTCCTTCTATCACTTTCTTCTTGAAGTGCCGTTTCAGATCCTGAACGCTTTCCCCAATCTCTGCACTTTCGAGCGACATCGTTGAGCTGATCGATGGTGAGCGGCGGATGCAAAAACAAGTGCTGAGAGGGCAGTTTGAGGGCCAGAAATTGCGGCAAGGACAACAAGAAGGAAAACTGTTGAATCAAGCGGCCGATCCGATGCGAAGTCGCATCAGGGATCTGCAACAACAGTTGCTGGGCTCGGGCCACCTGTACGTAATGTTCTAAAGAACGCACATTCGACCAACGACCCTCGAACCGGAGCCTACCTATGTCACTGCGATGGCTGTCTACATGCCATGTTGCACCCCCCGCTCTCAAACTTGCGGGACTGAATCGGCAGTTAGTGAGTCTTAGCCTCTTGCAGCAATCTTGGAATAAGGCTCGGAACTTCTGTTGAGATCCAGGCCACAGAAACCTTTTTTTATTCTGATCGTTAATTGTTTACTAGCCACACTAACCCGTCTGTGATGTCCGGGTGTGCGACGTGCGACACTTGCATACTGCTGTCTACCCATCTGCCTGGCATTTTTGGGCTGGCACAATCGGATGATCGCGCGTTCGCTGCCTAGAGAGATGTCATTCGGCAGGCTTATGTCAGCAGGTTTCAGCTTGAACATTTCACCTGGCCTGAGCATTCCGAAGAAGCATAGGCCAGTTAGTGCAGCGAATGTCAGAAGTCTATCAGACATGACCGGGTCATCGATGGTCAGGCTCCACCGTCTGGCTTCACATATCAAAGCTATCAGAACTGCAACAGGAAGGGGCGGTCTGAAGTTGGCCGGTCGCAACTCCTCCCACGAGATCAAATTGTCCCATGTCTCAGGCAAATTGCGTCTCAATCTGGGCTGCCATATCTGCATGAAGAGTGTGGCATGCTTGGCAATGCGAAAAGCAGCAGCTCCCTCTGCCTGATGCATCGCTTTCACAAAATCTGTCAGCACAGCATCTATCTCGAGAGGGCTCTTGGCCGACAATTCGCTCCATCTCACTTCTCTTTGCTTCAAAAACCCCTGGAGGGCCTGTCCGGCCTCTAGCAGTCGACCTCGGTAAGCAGCGCTGTATCGGCTCCATCGCAGTTTTGAGATGCTCAAGTCAGCGCCAAGGTCCATGGGGCGACATGCACTATAATGGTTCTGGAAAAACCAAAGGAACACAACATTCATACTTAAAAAACTAACGTGCAGCGGTGCTCAGAGCTCTGTTTACTCAAGTTTAGCATTGGAACATCTTCTCACAAATGCTGACATATCTCTCGCAAAGTGGTGCTGGGTATGATCCGGCAAGCGTGGATCTTTTGACCCACTTGCCCTTGTACTTGACTCCCCCAATCACTGCGACATGTGCATGATTCTGGCAACAGCGTTTTGCCAGCTTTTCGAGATCTGGAAGATTCCCTGCAAAAACCGTTGCCTTTTTAGCCAGCTTCAATGTGCCATCTACATCAGGGACCCTGAGATTGTAGCAGCACTGGTCTAGTCTAGCTTCAACTATCTCGACGTCTAGTTTTAGCCGTAAGTACGCCGGCATATTCCAGGCATATGAGGAAGCAGGGTTTTCAAGAGTGAAGAAAGAGCCATGCTGTGCTAGTATACTACACAAATGCGGTGTTCTGTGGAAGATTTCATTCCCAAGCTTCTCCCTTTTCAGACTCCCATCCCCTTCGGGTAGTTTGTCCTTACAGCGAGTCCCTTTGTTGAGGTGTTGTAGCTGACTGAAAGAACTGCATGGAAAACCAAAATGCCAAATGTGTTTCCCCCGCTTGGCCTCGTTACAGAGTCGGGCGAACACGATGTCTTCAAGGATGTTGTTATTGGGATCTACCTTTCCTTTTTGCATGATTTCAAATGGGGCAGAAACTTTCAAGAACTGCCTTCGTCTGAAACATTGGGTCAGGTGGCCGGACCCGGCAAAAATCTCTTTAAAAGACCATGCTTCAACTGCCGGATGCTTTTTCGGCTCGAAGGCGGGAGTCTTCTGAGCTTCGTCTGCCTGATCGTTGCCGTCAGTGACATCCTGTTTGACACTATGAACGACTTTCCATATGCTACGGTTGTCTCTATGCTGTAGTACTATGGGGATGTTATCTCCTAGGACCTTTCTAGTGGTGTCACTAGGCATCGCTGGGGGTGCCGGGATTGGACGACCGCGTGAAGGATGATCTGCCGGATTGGCTTCCGAGCGCACCCAAACTATGTGTGTGGACCTTTGCCCGACAATTGACCATCCCAAGCTGCGTCGCAAGAGTCTGTTCAGATGCTTGGACGACGAGCGTCCCTTGGCCCAGGCACCCGTGGCAGCACGAGAGTCAACGAGCAACACACATCTGAGAGGCTTACGGGATGAATGAACAATGTCCACTAACTCACGATATATCATTCGCATCTCCAAGATATTTATGTGCTGTTTGTGGGCAAAAGTACAGCTCTCAGTGCTTACCCAGGGGTGATCGGTCATCAAATCTTCAAGCTCCTCAGGGATGGGCTGCATTGTGCTTTCCGATGCCAAGTTTCCTGACTGCCAGTCTAGTCGGACATGTTCCCCTTTGTGTTCAGCCAAACAGTACAACGTCTGTGCTACTGAGGGCAACGTCAATGTGGCCGCTCTACCTCCTCCGGTCAGTGAAGCATCACTGCAACCCACTCGGCTGGAAACTTCCCACCGGATGTTGGCTTCTGCCACCGGTAAGCAAAGAGCGCACCACACGAGCTCCTCTTTTACGGCAGGGGGGAGCTTGGCAGACTCGTGATCTTCAAGCGTTTCAATCCAAACAAAGGTTTCTTGTAACAAGCACATTAGGTTCCTACGATGCATGAATGGGTGGATGATTAGCCCTACCACTTGCTGCAACATCTTTTTGGAAACCGTTGCCAGTTCTAACACTTGAGTCCACACTTTCCCCAGCTGTCGGAGCTTGGCTAGAGGTGCCCCTACGCGACCAGAGGCGCTGTCCACCTCGGTGCCCCACGCAACAAAATTTCCTGCTTTGTTGAAGGACTTCTTCTTAGACGTTGGTGTACCCTCTTCTTGGTATTTAGCCCGACTGGCCTCTATAATGACCTCATCACGAAACCTAGCACCTTTTTCCCTCTTTTGCTTCTTTGGGATTACTTGAATGACGATGTGGTCATCTATATAGAGCCCTTCATAGCAGTGAGAAGCTGGTATTGGTTGTTTATAGGCCAGTGCTTCACCCGGTCGCATGCAATGACAATCTTTCAGGATTTCGATGTGGACCTGTTGCGCGATATCGACCGCGTTCAAATCCCCCATGGCAATAACACAAAAGGACAACAGGTAACGACTACCTTTCCTTCCACCAAACTCCTCAAAACCTTCACCATCGAAGACCTCTCCTATAGCATTTCGGGGAAGCCAATTTTGGTTGTGCTTCAACAAGTAAAAGTAGTTGCTGAGGTCGTCGCCACTGCCACGAATGCTAAAATCCGGAGGGAGAATGATTTGGGTCAGCAGGGAACCATGAGGCAACTTCGCCCACACTAACCGGCGTTCTAACTGGTTGAAAGGCCGCCTATCCAAAATTATCCGGTCGCTATGCTCTTTGTGGTTGACGGCGAAGAGACCGCCTGTTATGATGCGGCCATCTTGGTCCTTGACTGCCAACTCAGAAGGAAGCAGCACGGCGACGCCCGAACGCAAAAGGTTTCTGTAGACCTGATTCAGGTCTTGGTCCTCTACCTTGAAACAGCCTTTTATCGGGGGTTGTTCAGAGTGGGTCATAGGAATGTCCTTGATCATACTTACAAACTGCTCCAAGTGAGGGCTTTTCAAAAACTGTCTCGGATCAATGGTCCCGGCTTGCTCTGGCAAAGACATCCTGTCGGGCTTGACAGGTTTTGCTGATTGCTGCAACTTTGCATCCAACTCTAAGCCATGATACGATGAGCTTTTAACCACAGCAATTAATTCACTTAATTTCAAGATGCCGCGACTAAGAGAGTCTTTATCTTCCCTAAGGCGGACAAATCTATTAATTTGCTTATGCAACAAGCCAGCATACTCCGAATGCATGGGTGTCCATGGCACGGCACGAGCTCGGGCGAGCAACTCTCTCTGATCAGCTCTTCGAAAAGGACACCCCCCCTCGAAAAAAGTAAACAATGCCCAAAGCACCTTTACCCATTCCCAAGCTTCCATGTGGCCTCGTCTTCGAGCACGTGACCGTGCGCTTCTAGGACACCGTATGACTTCCGGTGTCACCAGCAAAGACGGAAAAAGACTTGCACGTTCCTCCAATTTGAAGGATGTCCTAGGCCCCGACCCCTTTTCACAACCTTGGCTGATAGGGGACTCACTGTTTTTAATTAGTCTCAAGAAACGTCCAAAGGAACCCCAGCTCCCGTGGGCGCTTTTCAAGATAGGGTCATCAGAGAAAGGCTTCGCTTTCTGATGCAACTGCTGGAATTTGGCTGCTTTGTTCAACTCTCGGTCTTCTCGACCGACTCCTTGGCATCTTTGTGCTTGTTGCCCTTGCCCTTTCCTTTGGCTTTGGGCTTCTCCTCTTCCGGCTCGTCGCCTTGCCTCCCAGGTGCGCGCCGCTTCAGTGCCTCGGCGCTCTTTGAGAGATCTTGCGCGCTCCGGATGTATGCAGTGACGTCTTGCAGGCTCTTCGGATCTCCACCAAACTGCTTCTTTTCGTAAGGGTCTGGTGTGTGAGTCAACAGCCAGGCAACGGTCCAGTCGGAGTCCAGAGCTGCTTGGTGCAAAGCTTGGAGACAAAGCGTCGTTTGGAGGGCTGCGCGGTGATAATCTTCCGTCAGTAGCATTTCCAGCACTATGCCAAAGAGGTAATGGCAACGTTGCAAATTTCTCTGCTTGCCGAAGGGGATCCGCCGGGTGTAGTCGACCACCCTGAAAGGCTTGTCTTGGGCTCCTAGCTCCTGCTCGATGCCTTTGACATATCGTCTGACATACTTCAGGGGCTTGCGGAACATTCGTCGCTTTGTGGCTTGAAGGTTTGACACCGCCTTGGCGTGCCCACGGCCCCGAGAGTGGGTGGAACCTGTTGAGTTGGAGGAGTCGCTGCCGCTCGAGATGCTCCTGCTGTTGGAGGAGCTGCTTGACTGGTGCCTTCTGCTCTTCTTTTTCTTTTCTTTCTTGGCTAGGCTCTGAGCGAGCTGTACTGCCAAGAGACCCGTCAAGGGCTCTTTGGTGCCAGCTAGCATGCGAACGATGTCTAGTTGCTTGAGCTGGTCCTCGTCCTCGTCCCTCTTTTTTCGGGTCTTCTCGATGAGTGCAAATCGCTTGGACTTCTTTTTGTCTCGCTTGCTTTCCTGGTCTTTGGCTTCTCCTCCATCTGTACCACTGCCTAGCCAATTCTGCCGCATCTTGGCGACCAGATCGTCCACCCCGTCTCCTTGAAGGCTGTCGGATAGCTCCGAGTCGGGTGATTCGACGGTCTTCTTGAGAGGTTTTCTTTTGGCCGGCGCAGGAGGCTCTGAAGCTGTAGCATAGGCAAGGTCCTCGTCCGCGCTGAGCAGATCCTGACCGGCCCGAATCAGTGCTTTGCGATCCGTCTCCAGCTTCAGAGTGGTTGTCACATCTGAGGGGGGTCCCAGCCTGACCTGACCGGGCTTGGCCTCCACCAAACAGTAACATTGTTGTCCAGCTTTGCAGCTTGACAGGCCACTCGCCTCAATTTCCTTCTGACTGCACCGAACTAAGGTCTGCACCCAACTGTCTCTCTCACCGACTATCAACGCTTCTCTCCACCGTGGTTTTTCGAAATCACTGCTCAGCCAAATATAGCCGACTGCTCCTTTCTTCTCCATGAATTTCTTCCCAACCAAACACGCGAGAGCTCAATCTGGGATCGATGTGGTGTCGCTCTGCCTCCCTCCTGAACAATTCTCTGGCTTGGGGGAGTGTCTCAGCTCTACGAAAGCGGATTCCAACAAACTGACCGTCGTTCAGTGTGAGGAGAGCCCCGTATGCAGTTGAGGAAGTGCCCCAGTGCAAGCCAGCAAAGGTGCCGTTGGGCTCACCAGGGATTTTCCAAACAGCGTAAAATCGAACGTCCTGATCCAAGTGATAGAAAGAAGGTAGCAGATTCAACTGTCCACGATAATGAAAAGCATGTCCAGGGATGCCAACTGGGATCACAGTGTAACACTGGGGGCGCTGGAAGAAAGGTGCAACTGACTCCTCTCCAGAGCTCCCTGATTCCGTTTCAGCAGTCCCAGGCTCAGGTTGTGGTTCAGGTGTCGGGGTACTATGGCGTCGCTCAAAGAGGATCCTACGCACCCACCTGAAACAGAACATCTACAGCCAAGATTCTGCGATCATTCGCAACATGGTTGAATCATATATATATATATATATGTTGAATTACGATGGTGTGTCCCTTTTTGCTGTTTTGGTCCTAGCTCGACTTGTGACTCATGAACCCCGCTGTCAGGGAAGCATGAGAAGTTCAAACTGGCAGGACGGGACGCGCATGTTTGACTGCGATGAAAGAATGCACGTGCATTGTTGAAACAAGCATTGGCCAACAAACAGATACCTTTGGCCGATGGAGCATGACTCACAAGCAATAAGCAAGTCAAAAGCTTGTGACGACATTCCTCCGAAAACATGTTTCACAGCGGAAAGGGTCAAGACTTGAAGCGAGATGAATGGTTGTTAGTGCAAAGTGTTTGCACAAAGATGAGCAGAATACAGACACGGAGTTGGAAGTTCTTCCTGTGTAGTGATAATGTATGTCAACGAAGTATGGCTTTAGCTACCTGAGTTTGCAAAGCTTAAGCCATAGGTGAAGTCCTCCCACAAGCCTTGACATTTGGCTTACATATACAGAGGGTCAGGTGTTTCCTTGACTCTCGATTGGCAGTTTTGGTTTGCATAGCTGCCCATCGCCTTCTCTTGGATCTTGCTTTGTCTTTCTTAATGTGGCTGAACTGCGTCTACTGTAGTACCAATGACATGCACAAACTGTAGCGGTCATGATTCGTGATGTTGAATTGGACGGTCAGTGCGACTAGCGGAACTGTTTGATGTTGAGATCATCTCGGTTTTGACCGTGATTAGGACTATTGTTTGTGTTTGTGATGTACTTCAACCGGCTCTCGGGGGGAGGGCTCCCAGCATTGGCATTTGGCAATAAATATATGCATGAATGAAGGTATAGTATAAATGTGTATACAGTATATTACAGTATATATATACACAATGACAAAGTGCTCAGCTCGTCACATGTCAGGCGCAAATGCTGAGTGCCGATGAAGCTATGCTGGGAAGCATTCCAGATCGAGAAGCTCCTTTGCCCTACATCCCTAAGGCAGGGCCTTGTGATTCATTCTTGATTGTGGACAACTACCATGCATTTGAGGGGATGCAATAACAAGCCTCAACCCACAGTTTTCCTTTTCATTGGCTTGACTGTATCATGAGTTTCAACACATTCGAGTGTTTCTGTGTGTACAAGAGCTTACAATGCTGAGTCAGTCTATGTGTCAAGGGTTGATCTGAGCGAGACCGGCAGGCTGGACTTTGTTTGCCTCAGCAGAGACCCCGAGTGAACGCGTGGCCCAAGCTTGTTTTGCTAGCGTTTGGTGTTGCTGTTGTATGGTGTTTGTCCTACAATGTACACGAGAAATATGAACAGCCAGGTATGACGACTTGATTTTGCACCACCCTGCTGTTCCGCGTGCCTGCTCACCTCTAATGCAGGCTAGCGGAATGTTTGATTGACGGACAATTTTACAACTGCTGGTCGACACTGTAGACATGGGCTGCCTTCCACGCATGCCGAAGTGCTGTCCAAAGCTTTGCAGCTTGCAGAGAGGGAGATCCCACCACAGCCACAGATTTTTTAAAAGTGGCCGTGGGCTGCAATTGCAGTGCAGTTTCAGATGTCAGGTATGTGGTTGCTTGCTGCCCAAAAATGAATCTCATGAACAAACATATATATATATAAGTAGAAGATCCTTTCTGACGGCAGAGAATAGAAGTATGTTTTCTTGTGAGAGTGTTCTCGAGATTTGGAAATGTTCCAAAAACCCTCGCTTCTACAGCCAGGTAGGCTATATGTCCATCCACTTGATTCCAAAGTATTCAAACTACGTATAACTTTCATGGATCTCAACACCAGTTGAAACATGCTGGAATTATGAGTCCCAGGAACAGAGATTTGAGGTCCTTGGTGAGGCATGGCACATCATGGCACTGTAGTTCCAAGCCAAAGGCACATGCAAATTGGAATGTGCATTATTTGATGCAGTCAAAAGCGTTTTGTATTGATGAAGAAGCACACACACACACACACCTTGTATGGATGTATATAAGTGAAACTGGCCAGGCCTACCCGCGCTCATTCACAGTGAGCCCTCCCCAGTCTTATGCGACGGTCTAAGTGGTGGGGCTTAACGGATGATGCTGTCCAGCACTTCGTTGTTTCCCTCCTGAGGTTGTCAGACCGCAGTATCCAAACTCTGGCTACATTGACTCATTCATCCCTTCGGCAGCGCCTGCACCTGGGCAAGAACCTGGATTAACACTCTCATGTGCTATGATAGATCCATAGTCTGAAAGGATGCTTCAAGGACAGACGTTTCTCATCAGGAAGAGTTGAGTACACAGTATATATATATGTATGATTATCAGCGCTGAGCGCTGCTGGTGAAGATAGGCTCAGTTGGGTACTGCTTTTGGTCCTCAGATAGCGCCACATTAGGTGCCTCCTGACGCTTGTTGCCTAAAGGCTTACAGATTGTGCTTGGAGGTCGTCGCCACGCCTCCGTACGATGGGTGGCCAGATGCACATTCTCAGGCACTTCCAATCTCAAATAAAATGTCCTGCTTGCTCGGAAGAGACATTTGGCAAGATCACAACTTGGATTCTGTTCAGATGCGTTCCTTGCTTTTGTTTTCGCCTTGGTTCGCTTGAATGCTTTGTCGTGTGGCTGTCATCAAGGCATCCGCTGCAGCTTACCCATCGTATGATCGAAGCTATCCAACCACCTCAGGCAGTCGGGTGGAAACACCACATGTGACTATCATTGTTTCGCAGAAGTTCCATGATACTTTACATCTTGGAATGTCTTTGCTGCATTGATGTGTCAGACTCAGTCATGAAGACACCTGTGCGCTTGCCAGGAGGTTCTAGCTCAAGCAGCATCACGGCAGGAAATGAAAAAGTACCTGCCTTGGGGGCAATTGGCTTGTCACTGCGAGAAACCAGGAACCCAGTAATTTGTGGGCATATTTGTTTGCTATTGTTTGCTGCGACCAAAGCGCGTTCAGGTTGAGACCATGCCGAAATATCTTGGAGGTGCTGTGTGCTTTCGGTGCAGACACTGAGTCACCTAGAAGAGGCCAAGCAAACTTCTCAGTTTGTGGATCTCACCCTTGCAGGTGAGCAGACCAACGCCGGATGGAGAAGTGTATCTTAGACCTGATTCCAGCAAATACAACATCGATGAACATCGGGCTTTGTACCACGAAGTGAGTCTATAGGTTTATAATGTGGCGGTATTTCTATAGTCGCAACATGTCAACATGTAGCAGCTTATTGAATCTTCCGGTTTTGGCAGACTGTCAGATTGTGCACTGAAACACTTTTCAGGCTTCAGTCCCATCACCGAAAGCACCGCCAATCCGCTCTTTGGCCAAAGCCTTGGTGAGGGATGCCCTTAGGACTGGTGCATATTAGCATATCATGCGGCAGAGCTTCTTTAGAAGAGATACTGCCTTATTGCTGTAGAGGTTTGCCCTTGTGCAATCCTGGTTTGTTGTTTCCCCAAAAATCTAGGAACCAAATGAATAGCGTGAGCTATCCTGCGTCCATATGTAGTAGCTACTTAAGCTACTAATTAAGCTACTAATTAGCTACCTAGCTTCTACTGGCTACCTCTAGCTACTACGTCGCTCTACGGCCTACCCCTCCCCCCAAAAAAGTAAAAACACTCAGGTAACATCTGCACCGTCTCCCCTGGAGCCAGAGTGGCGAAGTAGCGAGGCGGGTAGTGAAAAAGAAGCCGTTTCTGTGGCTTCAAATTTGGTGGCATTCTTTTAAGATTGGTCAAGGTCATTCAGCATTCGGGAGCTAGAGTCATTTGAGATCATTTGATGATTTGTTCATTAACCCACATTGCTGACATCGAACCAGGTTTGGTCACGTGCAAGCCCTGCACCTTGCCCTTTGGGCCGGGATCTCGAGGATGTTAGCTGCGCAGTATAAGGTATGGAAGGTAGTGTGGTTGACACAGTCAACTGCACACCTGGCACATTCCTTACTCTTTCAAGTTCAGCTTTCAAAACACGGTTGAGTTTGGGAGGATCATCGTTGCGAAGAAATGGAAACATGATCAGCAAGCTGTTTGTCGGATCAGCAAGCCAAGGATGTACCATAGGGCGTCTCCGCGAGGCAGGGCGCGTTGGTAAGGGATTGCGTTTTGTAACGTTCTCTTCAGAATGCGCGCGGGGCAGGTCCAACCTGGATTTACAGCAGCGACTATGGCCCCGGCACAGGTCAGGGTTGTAGAAGGTGATGAGCCATGAATTGTGACTGAAACGCTGGGGCTTTTGCAAAAGCCTTAGAGAGCTGGGAAGAAAGAACCACACAGACCAGTAAGTCACCAAGGTGGCTGCTGCCTCCGGATATCCTACTCAAACTTCGCCCTGCATATCGCCGTGTGCAACGCCGCAATCTCCATGTGCTCCAGCTGCAAAATGAGAATTAGTAAGCTTCGTCATTTTATCAGCTTGATTTCGTGGGTCAAACTCCAACCTGTCAGACCTTGCCTAAGCTCACTTAGTTTGCATGCTGTGTGGCCTTTTGGCCCCTGATGTTTGACAAATACACACGTCGCTATTGTGCAAATCCAAAGGATTTGCCACGATTTTCCTGTTGATTGTTTGTTTTCATAAGGCAGAGTACTTGGCCTTGCGGAAGCACAGGCAGATCCGTTCGCATCGTCACTGCAAGGTTTGTCGGGGTTTTATGTTGTTTTTTCAACCCGTTGCTTCATACATGATGCGTGCCTAGGCTAACTAAACGATCAGGACGCTCTTTTTGACCTATCAGTAGCAAAAAACACTCTTGTTAATACTGGAACCCAGTTGCACCACTTGTTGAAAAGTAGCAGCTCAACGCAGTGGGAACGTGTTTCGTGTCGCGACATTGTGGGGAGAATGTATCAGGTGGCTGGATTAAAAGGTT